GCTAACCTCTAAATCAGACGTTGAACAGCCTGTTCTTTGAATTAGAATTTCTCTCAATGAAGGATATTCCTTTCTCTATACAAAAACAATAACTTCAAACACAAAACCTATGTTAGCACCCAGAGAGATATCTTAATCTTACCAGCAATTCATACAGCACATGTCCAACTCTAAGTAGCACAATTTGACCTGCTTCGCCATGGACTTGAAATCCCTACAAACATATACAAAACATAYTAATCACTAAACACTAAAATAAAATAATCAATATTCATTCATAATTTATTGAACTCACAATCAATATCTGTGAATAGAGAGCTTCTATGATATTTGTAGCAATAGATGAACCCATGGATTGAGCCATTGCTAATGCCTATAAAAAACACAAATGTGRAAAGCGGTGTTAATCACTGTYTGAAACACTAGTTTGCATTGCTATCCCTGCACTACTTGGGAGTCCTATCCACTTGTTTGTCATGCTATCCAAGAGTTTGCATTGCTATTCACTGGTTTTGAGTGGTATCCAATAGTCTGCAACTACGTAACTAAATATAAATCAAGTCCTAATAAGGATTCTCTAWRAAACAATCAAAATTCACCTTTTTGATAAATGGTACACTAAGTTTTGATGCTTTGGTACAGGCAAATGAGTCCAGCCATGTCATAGTTGAAAACACAGTTGTCACTAGTTGCATGTTAACATTCTAAAAGAAATGATTATGTTTGYGATGGTATACATTTTGAAGGGGTAGTTTAAAGAAAGGTGGTAATTGATAATGATAATAAAATCAATTTATGATGATACTTACTGGAGATTTCATAAGGATTTCTCCCAGGGGTCCTAGAGATGCCTCCAYTGATTCTACAAGACAGTTATCACAATGATCATGCACCAATTGATAACAAAACACAAGAACAAAATAGGGCAGCACCTTCCTTTTTCTTGGCAGAATCCATGTTCTGATCAGATTCACTTTTCATTGTCTCCTCTTCCACCTGACTTAACTTTTTGCTTTTGAATGTACAAGCAAGATCTAAAAGAAAMRTAAAACGTAGCTCAATCTGGCATTCATACGCACTTCTGATTGAACATTGACTGAGCGTTTAATCAGATAACACTCTTCAATATGGTGGCTTAATTATAGGGAGGAATTTTCAGCAATAATTTATAATGACATTTAACTATCAATAAAGTGTCAGTGAAAAACAAAAGGCATCACATAAATCATTTTGAAGTATTTTGGCTGCAATAGTGGCAAGTAACAACAGCAAGTACAGAAAATGTCCTTCCACTCTGCACTTACAAAAGACATCCATGTAGTCTTTAGTAACAAGATGAACAAACTGATCTTCAATGACTTCCTTAGAGTAGGTATCTTGTTGGTCTTTAAACTGCTGTCCAGTACTACATGCAATAATWCCAAGCATTAAATCACAATCTACAAACTGATTGACAGCTGTCAATTAAAAGTGACAGATACCTCTCAGTTTGATGGGATTTGACACTTTGCCATTCATCTTCTAAATGCTGTAATTAAAGACAAYATGGTGAGCATATTTATTTATAGAATTAAACAGCTGTTCATCACTTGCCTGAAGCATGAATGTAAAGAACTTGGCYAGGACAGGAACCAGTGTGGCTTCATAAAATTCCGGAGGACAGTTGACAACAARTGGTTTAATGAAATGACGTATTCATAGTCAAGGATAATTTAATTTCTATAATCTAATTCACATATAAAAAAATCTGTATGCAATTTAGATACAGATAATGTATGAYGGCAAGTTTGTTCTCATATAATTGTTTTTATCATATAGTTTTGTAAGGATATGAATAACAATTCTGAGTCTGTAATTTGGTAGATGATGTAGTGTGCTAATGACATGTTCATTGATAAACCAAGCAAGTCCTGGCTGACTGTACAGTTCTGATCCAACTGCATTACCCATCAGACCAATGGTACTGTAACTAAAAACAAGCAGTTCATAATTAGTGACAACAATGATGGACAATTTCCACAAGCAAATACTACATTCATTATGAAGTATATTATTAATTATTGTTGACAAGTAGAATTCATCGTACATACCATGATTCTGTCAAGTGATAAATGTAACGTCTTGTTTTTGCTACAGAATCAACATTTGCTSCACTTTGATCATCTGAATTCTGCATGGCTGAAAATGAATGAATGCCATGTAAATAAGTGCTAGTWGAACAAAAGAAACAAAAGGGCATAAAATAGTGCAAAATAGTATTACTAATATTTAATGGATATATACTGCGTGTACTCTACATTAGTCCAATTACCAAATATAGCAGCCTTTTCTGAGTCATGCATCCCCAGACAAACAAGATAGTCTGGATGMATTAGTGCTTGACCARTTGGACCATAAAGATTATTGACAGCCCTGAAAACATAAAATTGAAWGAAATTAAATATCTTATTAGAAAAGTGAGAAACCTTCAAGACTTAAAAGATAGGCTTGATGTYACCAGACTAATGAAGTATAATGGTGTCTTATTAATACTAGTTTTGATTTACTATTTTGTACATATGCCACATCTACACGCAACACATAGGGCTACTTCTGCCAAATCTACAYTGTATTYTACWASRTCTATTACACTTAAATGTCTCCCTTCAAACTCAACTTTTTTTAATTTGTAGCAAGKAGTACTCTTTTTCCATGTCAACAGGCAGACTATAGTGATTTAACATGAATACTTACTGGGTAACTGTCAATAAGCTAGGTAAATATGGCAGGATATGTGGAATAACATGAGCTGAAGCACCATCAGGCATCAACCCAATTGAGCTCCGGTCACTGCGGTTTKTCTGCACATTGAGTAGGAATATTATTATTCTGATCATAACAAACAAAAATACAACACTGAATAATTTGTATTACCTCTTTCAATYGACTGCATCTCCTCACAACAGCAAGAAGAGTGGTTATTGCAAGCATCAGCTAAAATGATACATAACTGTCTTCAGAAAGGATGAAGCATAATCATAATAATAACTATAATTCATCATTGTTTTACGTTTTACTTATTTTGTAGCTTGACGCCAGGAAGGTTTTAGAAATTACTACCATTGTGATCTACTGATCGATGCGACCCTTCGACACTCTTAAGTCAATAATATACATTACATTAAGGTCTTAAACCCAAATATATTTCGCTCAAGTCAATCCTCTTCAATGAGAATATGCATATTATTGACTCAAGAGTGTCRAAGGGTCGCATCGATCAGTAGATCACAATAGTAGTAGCATTATTTTAACACAGTTTTATTCTTAAAACAATTGTTCAGTATACATGTACGCACTCTCAATCCATAACTTGCAATCTGTCACTCKGAATCGCAAACTCATATATTCAATACCTTAGATCTTCTTTGAGCAGCATCACCAAGCATAACATAGTCTGCAGGAGATTTGTTCATTTGMAGAAACATTATTAACCATTCAACAGAGATGGACTCCCTAGAATAACAAGCAATGTACATGTATTTGAAGAGCTCTTATTTAATTTAAATGTAAAAATAATGGGCTGTTTGGAGGGAAAAGAGAGAAAAGTCCAAAATATAATTATTTTGCACAAAATATTTAAGAATTCTACTTGTTGAATAAGATTTTTGATTAATATTGATAATGAAAATATACTATCATCCCAGGTTGAACACCTTAGCAAGATCTTGTAAAATCATGGAAGATCTTACAAGATAGTGTCCGGTACGGTATCATAGTCTACCTAGTGTGATAGTGTACCTAGTGCGGTACAGTATCATAGTCCACCTAGTGCGGTAGTGTACCTAGTGCGGTAGAGTAGCATAGTCTACCTAGTGTGATAGTGTACCTAGTGC